TATTTATTAAATTTATATACTGCCCTACTCATGAAGGACTCAGGGCAGTGAACAGTCAAAAGATAAAATACACATAGTACAAACGTTAAAAAACCATTTAAAAATACATTAAATACTTTGGCCCAAAACAAATTTAAAACACCCCAATTTATAAAACAAATTTAAAAGCAGTTAAAAGGGAGGTTAGGCCAGACCAGCCTTCTGGAATAATGTTTTGAGGGCACGGTGGAAAGTGCGCAAATCCGGGATCCTCCGTATCTCCGGGGGGAGCTCATTCCAGATGGCAGGTGCCCCCACAGAGAAGGCTCTCCCCCTGGGGGCCACCAGTCGACATTGTTTGACCAACGGCACCCTGAGAAGACCCTCTCTATGGGAGCGTACTGGTTGGTGAGAGGCTACTGGTGGCAGAAGGCGGTCTCGAAATTGACTTTCTCTCTATTTAGGCTTGCTGGAGAATCTAGTATTATACCAAATAGATATTGTAAAGTGGCATTTTAAAATTCATGGAACAAACATTACTGAAAACTTCAGTGTAGAATATAGAATTAAAATGTCATTTTGAGTTAACATGCCTCCCACCTGTGATCATTGATAAATCAGATTCAAGCAAGAAGATGAGTCTCTCTTTATGAAGTCAAGCACGAAGAGATTATCTTAGTTTTAGGGATTTAAAGACAATTTTGATTCACATGCTACTCTAGAACAACATGCTAGAAAAGACTAAAAGGGAGTTATATTGGCTTATGAATAATAAATGCAGATGTGTATATGACCTTTATAGTTAAAAAATAAGTCAACTTCTGACTGTCTATTTATGATTGACTCAATGTGAGGAGAAAACAAGCATTTGGGATGGAAGCAAAAGGTATACAATCAAGGAACCAATGTTTAAAGTTTAAAAATTGTTCCTACAATGTCCAGCTAGAGAGAAGGAAAAATAGCACAGCACAAAAATAGCACAAATAGACAAATAGCACTGGGGCTCTTTGATTGTCAACAAAAAAATGCCTGATATTATGTCAGATCAACAGCCAGTATTACTGAGTACTGTCAACACTGGCTGGCAGAAATTTTTCAGAATTTTAGCCAAGAAGCACCAATTGTGGTAAAAGGGAAACAAGGAAGTCCAAAAGTATTCTAATAACCTGCTGCACAATTTATTTTAGAAAGTGGAAAAAAGCACGTTGGCCAGGACTTTATTAGTTATAAGTGACAAGCACAGGTTCTGAATAATCTATTACCGGCCAGCTGTTTGACAATACCCCAGGGAGAGGAGGATACATCCATTGGTGCCATGAGCCAAACAGATGCTTCCTAGCTATTGATGGATAGAGGAATAGTCAAGCCCTAATATTCTTGAGGTTTTTTTTTTTTTAATTTTAGATTTATATACCCGAAGGACTCAGGGCGGTGAACAGGCACAAAATAAAATAGATAGATACAAAAGCTCGTTCTAGATAGTGGGTGCCCCCACAGAGAAGGCCCTCCCCCTAGGGGTCGCCAGTTGACATTGTTTAGCTGATGGCATCCAGAGGAGCCCCTCTCTATGACAGCGTAACGGCCAGTGGGAGGCTGCTTGTGGTAGTAGGCAGTCCCATAAATAACCAGGTCCTAAGCCATGGAGCGCTCTAAAGATGGTGACCAAAACCTTGAAGCGCACCCGAAAGACCACCGGGAGCCAGTGCAGCTTGTACAGGAGAGGTGTCACACAGGAGTGCCATGTTGCTCCCATAACCACCCATGCGGCCGCACTCTGTGCCAGTTGGAGCCTCTGGGTGCTCCTCAAGGGGAGCCTCATGTAGATAGGGTCTTATTTTTGGGGAAACACGGTACTATATTCTTATTTCTTATTTCTTTTTTATCTCTCTTCTTATTTTTTCTTTTTCTGCATTTTAATTTTTTAATAAACTTTAATTTTATCTTTCTTGCAGTTTAATATTGATATTAAAATATTAAAAAATATTTTTATCTTTCAATTGACATTTTTAATAAAATTATTATTAAAAAAATACAATGTTAGTATAAAACAGACTGGAAGTTAAAGATGGTAACTGGTACCTAATGATATTTTACTATTTTTTACAGGATTAAACCTACAGAGTGGTTTAATCAAATTTACATACCTCAATATGCTACAATCAATTGTCAGTATAATTGAAGACCAGGGAGAGATAGAGTAAGAGAAAGACAGGGACAGGGACAGAGAGGTAGTGGGATGTGACATGTGGTTAAGTTACATAAATATTTGTAATAGATATTTCATGTAATTATTATTTTCTTTGATCTTTTGATCAACCAGCAAAGGAATGATTATAAAGTAGAAAGCCGGTATGTATAATGGCCATAAGAAATACTGCAACTCCACATTTGGCCAACTAACTTTATTAGGGCCAATTCAAAAGCTTTCTTCAAACATTTGCTAGAAGAGGCAAAGAAAAACAGATCTGACTTAGTTTTCTCTAGTCTTCATGTTATCACATGATCAGTCAGGAAGTGTAAACAAATGTACACTTCTTCATACATATAGTTCTTCATGTATTGCAAGACTCTAATAAAATTAAGTTTCTAATTGTTCAGATAATATAGTTACAATTTCCCTTCAGCTATCCCAGCTAAAAACATCAACCAGGGCCACTGTGTATTCCCATTTAGTTTAAAGCCACTTCGAATTCAAACAAACTCTTGAGAAGGCTAACATGGTAATAATACACAGGCATTTCAAGAATGTTTCAGGTAAAGTGGAAAAATCCATCAGCATGTGGTTGACGATCATATCATACAGTTTCCATTTTCATAAGTTTTAAGTTAGTCTACAGACATTCAACTAGACTGTTTCTGATGCTGAAATGGTTGCCTTTCCACATAGAGTTTTTTGCAAATCTGTTAGAATGAAAAACAAGGAGGAGGAGGAGGATAGATAACCCCACATTTTTCAAGTAAGTCAAACTTTATTTTAGAATCTATTCTATCTGCAAGCAAAATATTCTGGTTCCATGATAGGTAAAAGAATAATGAGAAAGAAACTAACTGAGATATTTATAATTGAAACTGAATTAATTACAATGATTGTAGTATGTTAATATGTAAAATGTTGTTTCATTGATTTAAGAAGAATTTCTCTATGGCAGATATCCATAATTCTCTATAGCCATATCCATAATTTATTCAAAGTTGTTAACAATTTACTTTTTTTAAAGAAACATAAACACAACACAATAATAATTTGCAATCTCCATTCATTTGTATTAGATATATAAATATTTTCATAATATACAAATGAAATATCTTACATATGAGGAAATCTACCTTCAAAAGCATTAATAGAAATTAGTCTTAAACAGTTTCAAAGTTCCTTGAATTTTGATTAACTAGATCATGAATCTTGGGAGTATTAATTAATTACTTGATTTTGGATGATGAAATATAAATGTTGATTTTAACTTTAAAATCTTGAAATACAAGGAACAACTGCATTAGATCTAATGGGAAATGATACGTTCTCCTTTTAGAAGAGTAGACATCCTGCAGCAATAAGCTACTTACTTCAGCAGTGATTTGGTGCTGTCTCTAAGGCTTCCTCCCAGGTGCTATCAGTTTTCAGCAGCAAAGGCAGTCACATTACATCTATATAGTAGTAGTAGTAGTAGTAGTAGTAGTAGTAGTAGTAGTAGTAGTGAAGATGTTCACTATTGCAAAATTGCCTCTTAAATTAAAAAAAAAAACTTTCTGCTTCTAAACCGTGGCTTAAAATACAAACTGAAGTTTTTTTTTTTAAATGTACAGCTCATGTTTCATTCTTTTGCTACCATTACCCATAATGTTTAGTGAATTCACTATGAATTTCAGTTTCCCAAATCAGTTCTCCAACAAAAATCCAAATTCCTGAATCTCTCTACATATTTCCCTTTAAAATTCCCCCATAACACATACATTGCATATAAGCAAAAATATTGTCCAAAAGTTGACTCCTGGCAACTTACTGGACAAGTCCCTGTAGTTTTATCAGTAAAGTTTTGGAAGAAAAAGGCTGTCATTTCCTCATTCCTAAGGCTGAGAGCGAAGAACTGACTCAGTTAACTTTATGCCTAAAATGGGAGTAGAACGCACAATTTCCTGGTTTTTGATCCATTATACACATAGGTCTTATATTGCATAGACATAATGGAAAAAATGATTTATTTTCTTGCTTTCTTCATACTTTGAGATGTTTTGTATAAGATGTGTTACCCTGAGCTTCAGGGTCCTAGTTCTTCCCCCATTTGCAAATGAGATATTTGAAAGCACCATGATACTGTGTTCTTAAGAATAGCTTAAGCAAGACATTGTTTCTTGAACTTGACTTCAAGGATCCCAATACATGGTACATACCATTTGGTATGATGATTGCTATTTCTTTAAATCTTTGCAGTTAAATTAATTGGCAAACTGTTATTCCAAATAGTGAGGTCTGGAATTTGGCTAAAAGCTTGGAGCAACACATGGCTACCTTCCTTAGAATCTTATTGTAATTATGACTCAAAGCTGTTCTGTGTGCTCTGGGCAAAGACGAAAGAGAAAAGTGGATTGACATTTGTTACCTTGGCAAATTTGCAAACCGTACTGCACAGCAAAGACAAGAAGCTTTTAAAGACAGATAAATGGACCACATGGAATGGTAATTTCAAATAAAACAAACTAGCCAATTATGGCACAAAAAGAATTAATTGGCAGAAATATTATGGAATTTTGGCTTGGAAGAGTCATGGAATTTTTAAAATAGATAGTGTTAAGGGAAATGGGAATAGATCAAGGACAATAATCCTGAAATAACAATTGCTCCTCCATTTATCCAAGGGGAAGGTGATTCCTGCCAGCTCCCCCTCTCATATGAAATCATTGCACTCTAACTCAGAATATTCAAACTGTTTTTTTCCCACCAGAAAACAGCAGAAGGCATGGGAGTTATAGAATTTTCATATAAACATTCTTTGAATTTAAACCTGTTCCATTCATGGAAGGACAGTTGAACTGAAGCCCCCAGGAAGAGAGATCAGGTACTGATTATTGACCATGTAAACTCACCAGCCCATTAATATATCAATTAATATTAATATTAATAGATCAATAGTTGTGAGATAGGGTGTACAGTAGGAGTACAGTATTTTGAAAGCCACTGAGACATTTTTCCAGAGTACTTGAAACTGGAAACAGTTTTTAATTAACCACACACATTTATTGTCTTTTGCTGGAATAGTACTTCTTGTTTTTAAATTATAAATTGATTTAACCCCAACCCGCCCCACCCCCACCCCCCCAAGTGCTGCTGTGCTACCTCAGGGTGCTGGAAGGCAGTTCCTGTGAGGGACAAGTGAAAAACATTAGGAACATATGTCAAGGATGTTCCCAATGTTCCAGCATCTTCATTTATAAAATCAATAATTTGTGTTATGTTGATGACACTGTACTGGTAGGTGAAAATGCAAATCATTTGCAAGTTTAAATTATAAAGTTAAAAAGAACAGTGTAAAATGGAATTATGGTTAATAAAAAGACGGTATTAATTTCTAACATGTATAATAATCTTCTTAGAATTTGCAATGAAGACATTGAAATGGTGGGCAGTTGCTCTTTTTTAGATTCAACTGTCAACAGTAAAGGAAGTAGCAGTCAAGAAATGTTACACAGACTGACATTTGGTAAAGAAGTAATGAAGGAAAAATATTCAGATGCTGAGATGTATTTATACCTAAAGAGATCATAATCATGTAAGAAATTATTTTCCTTCTGACACATTATGAAAATGAAAGTTAGACTTTGAAGAAACAGGATAAAAAGAATCTTGATAACGTTGACCTTTGGTGCTAGAGAAAATTCTTAAGAACATCATGAATACCCAGGAAAACAAACCAATGGATCATTAATAAATCACCTCAGAGTTTTCATTCAGTCTTATGATAAGGCTCATTATCATATTTGGACAAATTATGCATTACAGACTTCTCTTGGGAAGTCTTTAATGCTGGGAAAGGTAGAGAGGAGAAAAAGAAAAGGATCAGCAGCAGAGTAGACAAACACAGCAGCAAAGAATGCACCATTTAAAAACACAATGGACCAGATGGACCTGGGGTTATTTCAACAGCAGTTTGATGCCACATGATCAGTCAATCAATCAACAGAATAAGCTCTTGTTCATGACAATCCTCTTGAGAGAGTTATGCGTAGTGCTTGACACAAGTGACCCAGGACTATGCATGTCAGATAAATCTAAACCCTAATTAACTGCATTGGGACATGTGTGGATTATAATCTATCATAAATGTTAAAGAATCTTGTGGCAACTTGCAAAGTAAGAAAGGTATCATTTCACATTTAACAACTTTGATTAATTACATTATGATCTAGGAAAGCGAAGATGCTTTCAGGTATACTGAAGATGCTTTCAGGTATACTGAAAGATTTTCTGATTTTTATCCTGCAAGAGACCAGCTAGCTAGCCTTCATGAAATGTATGATCTATAAAGTTTGTTATACTTAGGACTATCAACTAAAATGAAGAAACAATAACTCTGTTAACAATGTTAAAGTAATTAACAACAATTCTTCTTATTCTTCTCCAGATTGGTAGGTTTTTTGCTTTCATTCAGTAATGCTTGATTGTCAGAATGTCTGGACAAGTCCCTCCAGTTTCAGAAGTGGTTTGCCATTGCCTCCTTCCTAGGGCTAAGAGAAAGTGACTGGCCCAAGGTCACCCAGCTGGCTTTGTACCTACAAGAGAACTAGAATCATTGTCTCCCAGATTCTAACCTGATTCCTTAACCACTACCCAAAATGGCAACGATCATAGATAGATAGAATCAACTGAGCCATTTATCTGCTCTCACATCTGAATTCCAAAACCAGTAATGCCATTGGTAACTGGGTTGTGGCATAAGAATTACCCTGCATCTTTGTGTTTTATTTTATCTGTTCTAAACCATTCTACCTAAGAATATGTAGGAGCCTGGATAGCTCAACAGACAGCACTGTAATTTAACACCAGCTGTCTGCAATTAAAGTAAGATCGAATCTCACCAAGCTCAAGGTTGACTCAGCCTTCCATCCTTTCTAAGGTAGGTAAATTGAGGATCCAGTTTGTGGGGGCAATAAGCTGACTTTGTATAAATATACAAAAGTATGAAGGTTATTGCTTAACGCACTGTAAGCCGCCCTGAGTCTCCGGAGAAGGGCGGCATATAAATCAAATTTAACAAATTAAAAAAGTGCTACATCTGGACAATCTCCAAAGAGACTGTACAGATGAGTAGAAATTCAGTGTAATGCTTTTCCAATTTTTCATTTTAAAAACTATCAAACTATGCACAGTTATGTCACATAGCATTTTTGCAAATTAGATTTGGAAATGCAAGCTACACAGCTAACCTAATATATTTCTGCTCTTACATGAAATTTTTCCTTACACTCACTTTGCTTAAAATCAAACTGACCCTGTTTTTAATGCAGCTTTTCTACATACCGGTATTCACTGATTTTATGGCCATTTCTACTCAGAAACAATGGATGGCAGCTTCCTCTATTTATAAATGCTATCTGGGCTGCAGAAAATGTAATGACTTAACAACATTCTGAATTTCCTTTTGTATTTCTCTTTTCAATTGTGTTTGGATCATGAATAGTCGGGTTCAAGCATTCCAAACTTTTTGTTTATTCTTTCTTTTCATTGAATAATAATTTAATGTATTATTTCCTGGCATCTCAGGATGCTGTTGAAGTTTAACAATGAAGAACAGATCAGGATCCCATAGTGTCTTCTGGAGACATGAAAATGATGGGTATAGCTGCAGCTTTGCTCTTCAGAAGACCTAAACCCATCCAAAGGAAAGGGTGGGGTAAGGGGTTGGAAGGCAACTATCAATGCCTGATTTGGAGAAAGCAGAGTGAAGAAGTATGTGTGTAGAAAAGAAATATGACGTAACATAATATGCAATAATTCTGACCTAATCAAGGGACTGAAACTTTTTTTAAGCCCTGGGAGACAAGATTTGGAAGTGACTCAGACAGACATTTCCCTAATTCAGTGGAATAGAAGGAGGAGAAGACAACACAGTCAGACTTGCAAGAGATTGTTATTATAACCAATTTTCATAGAAATAGTTCTAGTCTTCGGTGAAGTTACTTCCTTCCCTTGTCAATCTAATGGGACTGACAATAGGGCTGAGCAATGGCGAAACTAGCCACCCAAAATAAAGAATAAAGATTCATAAAGAATCCCTTGTAAGACATGGATAAATGGCACATTACACATGTTATAAGATGAACAGATTCTTAGATTATATTTAATATAGTAAATATACTGAAAAATTTTAATAGATTGCCTTTCTATGTGCCCTGTTTCTTAAAATCTGCAAAAGAGCAATAATTAGGCCCTATTACTGTTTCCTGGTCTAATCAAGTTACTATTTACTACTTTGCCAAAACTATTATAATTTTGCCTAGATTTAGAAAACTATTTTATAGACCAGGAAGTGATGTCCCTAGTTGTGGGTATAAAAGCAGCAAGAGATTCTGGCTTTTAAAGTTTCCAGTCCAAGCAATGGTTTAGTGTAGTGGTCTCCAAACCATTTTAATTGCATATATTTACCAGTATTTTCTTGTAGCATGTACCTTCAATATATGTAGGGTTATAAAGTTATATCCGTGTACAATTGTACCTTATGTCTATTATGTAATTTACAAAATACACTCCAGAAATAGACATTAAAAAGTATAAAATAAAAATGAACTGAGTAATCTAATATTTTCTTCTTGCACCCCAAAGGATCTTCTTGCTCATATCCTGAAAATCACTATTTAAAGGATTGTCCGAATAGAACTGTTACACACTTTTCAACTTTATGGCACTTGACAGTGGTTGCAAACATACAACACCTAAAACCAACATGCAATATTTAAAATAATTAAAACGAACTTAAAATTCATTAACTTATTAGATTCTTCAAGAACAACCCCAAGGAGAATGATTTGTCAAATTGGAGAGTCCTGAAGTATGAATGTTCTCCTAGCTCCTTATATGTGACATAACTTTCATGTATGGTTGAACTTTTAAAATGCTAATTTCAAATTTTCATCTTAAAAAATCAGCTATATGATTCATGAATAATATTCTGTCATGACTACTAAAACAAAACTCTTTGTTTCTATCTTTTTGTGCTATATATATCTGAAATGGTTTCTGAATTCTTACATAAGAAGCTATTGGAGAATTTGCTTCATTAACCAATATTTATTTCAAACTTATTTCAGAACTGAAGGATCTTCTTGAATGGGAAGCAAAATATCTTCAAAGAAAAACAAAGAAATCCAACCATGACTATTATACTTTTCTGGTTTCAGAGAAACTTTTTCCCATGTAGGTCTGAGATTGCAACCATAAACTTTTTTCACACCCATGACAGGGCTGAATAATTAAAATTGCTTTCTATGGTTTATTGGAAATTTCTGGGGCTTCCCCTCAAACCCTAGAAATGCTACCTATTGAACCAGTTTGAAAAAGGTAACTGGAATAACAAAGGAAAGCAAGTTATTTGCTTTTCTTAGAAAAGCAAGTAACAAGATTTTTTTCTGCATTACATCAGGGATAGGGTTGTAGGAACTGGGCATGCTAGTCTAGTGAAGAGAAGGACCACAGGAGAAATGATAGCCCTCTTCCAATACTTGAGGGGCTGCCACAGAGAGAAAGGGTCAAGCTATTTTCCAAAGCATCTGGAGGGCAGATAAAGAATAATGGATGGAAACTGGCCAAGGAGAGATTCAACTTAGAAATGAGAAGGAACTTTCTGACAGTGAGAACAATCAACCAATGGAACAGCTTGCCTTTGGAAGTGTGGGAGTTTCATCACTTGAGACTTTCAAGAAAAGATTGGACTGCCATTTGTCAGAAATGGTGTAGAGTCTCCTGCTTGAGTGGGGGGTTGGACTAGATGACCTATAAGGTCCCTTCCAACTCTTTATCTATTAGATAGGAAAACTAAGGGCAACATTTAGCATTCAAATTATTCCTTTATGACTCATTCTAGTCTAGTCTAGTCTAGTCTAGTCTACTCTAGTCTAGTCTAGTCTAGTCTAGTCTAGTCTAGTCTATATCATTAGACTGTTCTGAGCATCACTGGCTTGAAACAAGATTTAGATGTAAAGGGAAACAAAAGAAAATCAGGTAATTAAATCACAGAATGAGAGAAAATGTATTCTAATAGACAGAACTGAGCCTGCAAATAAATAGCAATAGCACTTAGACTTATATATTGCTCCATAGTGCTTTACAGCACTCTCCGAGTGATTTACAATATCAGCATATGGCCCCAAACAATCTGGGTCCTCATTATACTGAAGGATGGAAGGTTGAGTCAATCTGGACCCAGTCAGGATCGAACTCCTGCCTGTGGTCAGAGTTAGCCTGCAAGTGCAATACTGCATTCTAACAAATACAAATCAGAATTAAGGACTATTTGAAGGGGTATGAGAGAGGTAACCTTTTAGGGTCATTGATCATAAATAAATACAATTTCAATAACAGTAATCTTGAAGAGATGAAAGGAATAAGCAAAAACTTGGAGTCTGGAATCTCTGAACCATCACCCCAGTTCAGCTCTGACACACATTCGCGTGCGCCTCCTCACGGCCAGTTGGTCTTCGGGTCTTTGCTGCGCATGCAAGGGAAGCAGGGCATGTGTGTAGGGAGTGTGCGCATGCATGGGAGTGGGGTACATGCACGGGGGCTGCACACGCATTGCATTTTGGGAGTTCGGGTGTGCACATGAGCATTTGCACCTACGAGCGTGCACTTTGGGCACTCGATCCGGAAAAGGTTAGCCATCACTGACCTATACAAATAGCTTCAAATATTTGCAAGAAATCACACTTACCCAGAAAACATAGTACAATTTCTTGAACTCGGGGAAAGTCACTGTGGAAAAAAACCGAACCCCAAGGTTACTGAAAGAGTTACACGTGCATCTCATAAATCGGTTAGTTATGTTGTCTCACAACACAACTCTCAGACAATCTTCATCATAATCATTATTGTTATTGTTCTTTCAAAAATTACAGTATGATAATTAAGACACAGATCTGGCGATAGGATTCAGAAACACAAATGTGCTCACACTATGATGCGATTTGTATCATTCTGACCTTCTTCTTCAGCAAATGCTATTAGTGCCATTATTTAACATTAATGTTGGGTGACTCTTGCAAAGCATTAATGTTTGGTTAATAACTATTAACCAAGATCTAGTTTGTGAACTAATGTTGACATCTGAAAATAGCATAAAATATATATACTCACCTACAATGGAAGAAACACTTATCTTAATAGCTTGATGTTATCTCAGCTTGCACACAGCACGAAGGCCATGCTATGAAGGATTCAAGAGGAGTCCTTTGGGAGCATTCGAAGCAATTAGCCAGATCAGTGCACAATAGCTTCTCCGAAACACCTACAATTATCTTTCATTCTGTACAGTTTGTTTTTGGCCAGTGGGGAAAGTGAAAACAATAAAGTAATAAAATGAATGAAACATGTTCCATAATTAAAAAGGGCATAATCTAACAAGACAGCTGTTGTACATTTACAAACAGCTGCTTGGATTTAGCAGTCCCCTTCTTACCTTGAAAATCAGCAGCAAATAGTGGTCAGATAAAAACTGCAAATAATAAGACAACACCAGGGTGACTTCTACTTACTTTTACTACTGGTTCTCAACAGGGCTGTGAGTATGTGCAGAAGCTTCCTGATGACTCAGTGGGCGGAGCCTCCCGCCGGTTTTACTACCGCTTTTTTGATAGACACCTCTAAGAAAGGGAGATTTCCAAGGAATGGAGAAGTCCCTCTCCTTATTTTTACCCACAGTGATGTCGAGTTGACCACACCCACCCAGTCACATGACCACCCAGCCACTCCTCCCCAGCTGGTCATTAGGACAGAGAACTGGTTGTTAAATTATTTGAATCCCACCTTTTTTTTCCAGGCAGAAAAATTAATTTGGTGCCTTAACTTTGTGAGAGAATGGAGTTTAGCAGATACAGATTTTTTTATTGGTCCATCTCTGTACACCTAAAAGAAAAGAAGCTATAGCCTCCAGAGATTAAGTTCTAAGTAGTAAATAGATGAACAGTAAGTTTCTACAAGGTTTCTACATTTCAAAAATATTTCTAAATCTCAAAATTACCTAGCAGTCCATTATTAGAACCTCTTAGAACTTAGAATAAAGAAAAAGGAAATGGGTTTTGTACTATCTCATCTGAGATTTTACACATAAGCAAAATGAACTCTATTCCTTCATTTTATTCCTTAATTTGTCTAATAACCAAGCAGAGAGCTTGTTGCATAGAAGGTAGATACTTCTTCCAGAAGAACATAAGACTGCATATAAAAAGAGTAAATGAGTCCCTACAGATTTTACATCACTAATCATTGCCAATTATAGGGTGTGGGGCTCATCTCCATTTCAAGGCCACTGAGCCAGTGCCATCCAAAGACATTTCCATGATCTTGTGGCCAGCAGGATGTCACAGAGTGCTGTTACCTTCCCACCAAAATGGTACCTATTTATCTACTTGCATTTGCATGCTTTCAAACTGCTTGGTTGGCAGGAGCTGAAGCAAGGACAGGAGCTCACCCTATCACCTGACGTTCATGTTTTGAACATGGGCTACCAGCTTTCCAGTAACAAGCCCAGCTTTCTTAAACACTGAGCCACTCCACCACCATTAAAAGACTTAAAAAACAGTTTTTGAGATGTATACAAAGTGCAGCAGGTTATATTACCTTGCAAATGAATGCTGAATGTCATAACAAGCTGATTATACCTTATTAAATTACATGGATGTGTAACTTCTGGGTATTATTTGATGCATGTTTTAGTGTTTATATGGGATTATCTCCAGCCTTCCCCAATCTGGTGTAATGCAGAAGATTTCAGCTACCAATAATTTCCTGCCAACAAGGCCAACTCCCATTCTTCCTAGGTGATATGTTATCAATGTACTCATGGTTGGAAAAAGTCACTTTCAAATCAAATTGTTTGTATAGATCCTGCTCAATTTACAACCATTCATTTAGCAATTATTCAAAGTTACAGTGGCACTGAAAAAAGTGACTTATGACAGACCTCACACTTACGCTGATCACAGCAAATCCAGAGTCACATGATCAAAATTTGGGTGCTTGGCAAGCAGCATGTATATATGATATATGTATATATGTATATATGATGGTTGTAGCATCCTGGGGTCATGGGGGTCACCATTACAATCCTCTTAGCTGATTTTCAACAAGTAAAATCAATGGGGGAAGTCAGATTCCCTTAACAATTGTGTGACTTACAGTATTTAACAATGGCAATGACTTGCTTAGTAACCATGGCAAAAAATATCATAACATGGTTTAAGGACATGACTTAACAACCATTTTTGTTAGCAATGGAAATTCCTAATTGTGGTCCTACATCAAGGACCAGCTGTACACAGTTACTTTGAAAAGAAAAAAAAAGTCATAATTTAAGGTTGCAGTTCTACTGTTCATATCCTGGCTACCAAAAGAATACAGTTCATGTGCCTTTATACTAGAAATTGACTTCATATTCCCTTTCCTTAAATAAGAACTCTGGAGCTAATAGGAAGTAAATGTGCCAGCTGTCCATGTTATTATGAACTCCAATTATTTAGTATTAGTTGATAAGGCATGTTATTTTTTTAGTGTTGAATTTAGTTTCCCCTTCCAACCCTGTCTCCCAATAGGATATGTGCTATCAGTAAGTATTCAAGTGTTAGAATAATAAAATAAATGTAGTGTACTGTGAAATAATTTTCTGAAAGCAATAAGAACAGTGCAGAGAACATGTTTCCATGCTGACATTTCATGGAAAAGAGAGTGACGAAAGAACAGTGTGATTTTAAGAGAGAACAGGAAGAGGGGAATGGGTGCCCCACATAAATAAGCTATTACAGGTTTCTGTAAACACAATCACAAGTTATTCTGCTTTGTGTATTGTCTTATTCTTTTACTGTCAGTTATGAAACACTTACTGTGATGTTTTACAAAACAAGCAGAAAGCTTTTGTATTGTATTTAGGTTCCACTCTCTCATGTATAATGATCTGTGCAAATGGAGATTTTAGCCTACAGCTTCCAATAATGCTTCCCCCCTCCTCCACTTAGAGTGCAATGAATTAGATACTGCTAAGATCCTGGACACTCTCTGGCCAAGAGGACCTCCAATTCCTCTTCAGGGCTACTGACAAAGATACTTCACTGCCTGAGGCAGAGCTACAAATGATGTTTTCTCCCAGATTATGATATATAGCACCAACAATTTTATTTTGACTAAAGAGACAGGAAATACTCCAAGTACCTTTGTTTATGTCAAAGTACAAATTGCTCAACCTAGTCA